TGACGTGGGCACTGGGGTTATGTGGAGGGGACAGCTGCAAAGGGTTGGGTCACAGGTTGAAAAGTCAGGTGAGGAGCTGGAGTGCCCTGTGTCCCTTTACCTGTCCATCTTCAGATGATGGGTCTGACCTAGCCGACAGCCTGTTCCCACCAGAAAAGGTGTCTGAAGGTGGAGCTCTGTGTCCTCTGGGGAGGCTGCCTGCTGATGGCGTATGTGGAAGGGCACAGGTCGCGGGTGCTGCAGGGCCGGCTTCTGGGGCACGGCTGGGGCTGGTGTGGGGCGGCAGGGAAGGTGCTCTGAGATCCCGAGCCAGGTTGGGGCTGCCTTGGTGCTCATATGGGACTGGATCGAAGGTAGGGGCCAGCTCAGCTCCTAGGCCAAATTAGCAGAGGAGCTCCCGGAGCTCTGCACTGTGGGCATCTCAGAGACCAGGCAGTGCTTTGCTGTCATAGTGACAATCAAAAATGTTTCCAGATGTTGTCCCATGTCAGCTGGGGAGCAGAGTCACCCCGGGTTGAGACCCCTTGGTGTGCACCTCCTCTTGCTGCCTTCCCGGTGCTGAAGCAACCTTGGGATCTGGGGAGGACCGGTGGGGGAGCGTGTGTGGGGCTGGGCAAGTGGCAGGGACAGGAGAAAGGCCTTGTTTCTGATCCGGAAGACTGGATTGATTGAGAAGTGCAGAGGTCAGGGCAGCCACAGGGGCGAGCGTCACTCCCAGGGGACCTGCACCCCCCACCCCCAGAAAAAAACTGGAGGCTTGGGAGTGTGAAGGAGCCCCTGCTGGTCCTGTTGACCTTCTGCCCCTGCACCCAGGCCCCTGTGGGACTGTTGGCCATCCCCAGAGACCCAGGGACACTCCTGATCTCTACTTCCCAGGAGGCAGGGAAGCAGAGGGCTGCCGAAGGCAGGGGGAGCCCCGAAATCATCTGTTCTAGCTCTGCGTGCTGGCTCTAGCCAACTGGCTGGAGAAGGGCAGGCCGTCCCGGCCCCCTCCCGCCGGCCGCCTCCTTCCCTGGGGCAGGGGTCCTGGCTGAGAGTGTGATTTATTCCCGTCATAATCCCGCGGTCGGCCTGGTGAGAGCTGGAAACATGTTGGTTTTCCCTTCCCAAGTGTAACAAGGCCTGCTTCCGTCTCCGCGGCCGCTGCTGCAGTGCCACGCGGTGAACTGTCCAGGACATGACAAAGGGGCTCGGGTAGCTGCCGGCGGGTTACAAGATGAGCAGCTCCCACGCTCCCTGCCTGGTAGACGCTCCACATGGCCCGAGCACTGGCCTTGCCCCTCAGCCGGCTGCTCTGTGGGGCCCCCGATACCCCCCCTCCCTGTACCTCCTGGGAGCCAGGGTCCTGGCCTGGGGAAGCAGAGGGGTTGGGAGGTTTAGGAACAGGTGGTATTTGAAGACTAATTAATATTTGTGAATAATAGCACGAGCCCGAGGGAAACAACCAATCTGTGTTTGTATATTCATGAGGGGGTCTGGAGGGTAATCTCAGCTGCTCTCCAGCCAGGGAATACCGCCCCCCCCACACACCTCTCTGGCGTCACCCGTCCCTCAGCCCCACTCTGAGGCCAGCAGGGGTGGTTCGGGTGGGCCGCGTGGCGGCGGCACCGCCTCTGTAGCGCGTGTTTTCCGTGACGCTTGTATGCAAGTCCTGTGGCTTGGTGTGGTGCCTGCCGCTTGCTTTTCCCTGCAAGCGGTGATTCCCAGGCTCTCTGGTTTCACAAACCAGTCCAGTTTGCAAATGGGCTCGGGGGCCAGACCCAGGGTTGGCAGGTTTTTTTTTATTTTGCCAAGTAAGGACATTACTAAAAAAACAACTGCTCCCGGCCATCCCGTCGTTTCATACAAGAGAGGACATTTGAGCACCAAGGACAAAATTGGAGAATAAAGGACAATGCCTCCCAAGAAAGGGCAGTTGGCAGCTTCGCTCTGGCGTGGAGGAGAAAGGACAGAGAGAGCCGTTCTGCGTGGGGAGACCCTGCCCGCAGCCAGACTCTGGCATCCCGTGCTGGAAGCCGCGGCTCTCCTGCCCCAGCTCAGAGACGGCGCGAGCGCCCAGGCATCCGGGCCTCCTTTGTATCTCGGTTGTCTGTCGGAAGCCTGGATCCCCCCAGCCGCATTGGCCGAGGGGACACCCAGCGCTGAGCACTGCTGGCCTGGGGTCACGGGGTCGCTGCAGTTTAGTCAGGCTTAAGGCAGCCCTTCCTCCCAACAGGTGGCCCTGAGAGCCAGGTGGGGCAGGGCCATCGTACACACCTGAGGCCAGGCCTGGGGCTCCAGGCCGCTGTGCTCTGAACAGGAAGGCTCTAGGGTTGGGAGTGGCCTGAACCGCCTGACACCCGGGGCGGGCTTTGTGCCCAGTGTCTGGGGCGGGAGACAGATTGCCCGTGCCAGGAGCCGGTGAGGAGAGGCCCTGGCTCCGTGGCTGTGCAGTTGCCAGGGTGGTTCCCCAACAGTGTGTGTGGGTCCCCCACGTCTGCTCATCCTCACGGGTGCCTGTGGCCCTGCACTGCCAGGAAACCGTTTCTGTTCTCAGCTTTTCCATTGTGGATTGAGCACCCCAACCCAGATATACAGGGGTCCCCAGAGTCCCCAGTAAGGGCCATGCTGGGGGTGGGGCTAACGGCCCAGATTCCGTCACTCCCGCGATCAGTCTCACCCAAGGTTGTGCCATGTGGCTATTTTTCAAGTTTATTTATTTATTTTGAAAGAGTTACAGAGAGAGAGGGAGAGACAGATCTTCCATCCTCTAGTTCACTCCCCAGATGGCCTCAATGGCTAGTGCGGGGCCAGGCCAAAGCCAGGAGCCACGAGCTTCTTTGGGCCACTTTTCCCAGGGGGAGCTAGATCGGAAACAGAGCAGGCAGGACACGAACCGGTGTCCCTATGGGATGCCGGAGTCACAGGCAGCAGCTTTACCCACTATGCTACTATGGCCCACGATGTAGATGTGTGGTGCAGGAATTACTTGAGGGCTAGGCTGAGGATTTGCACCTTTTAGTGCCTGGGACTGCCCCCTCCCTCCGCCCCCAGCAGGGTGTCTGCAGCGGGGACTGACAGCTCTGTGGTAATGTGATGGGGAGCTGCAGCCCTCTGCACCCGTCTCAGGCAGCTTCTGGATGGGACACGGCCTTTGCCAGGGTGTGCTGGGGGGCTCACGCCGTGACTATGCAGTGCGTTTGTCCGCCCACATGGTCTCTCTCCGGCGTCATCCCTTGATGTTTGTTTGCAGGAAATTTGCCCCTGTGGCCCTCGGGCTGGGGCCTGTTTCCCTCTGCTGTTGCCCTGAGGGTCCCCTGCCTGGAGTTAACCTTGGGGCCTTTGTGTTGCCACACTCCGAAGTGCCGCTGGCCTTGGCGTGCTTCACTGTTGGGTCCGTGTCAGGGGCCACAGGAGGGAGCCATGCCCCGACGATGATAACCTGGCCCGGGAGTTTCCCCTCTGGTGTCTGCCGGGGACTGGAATTCTAGCGTTGGCGGTGATGCCCAGGTCCATACAGGTGACCTCTGTCCCCACATGGCCACGCAGCCCATCCTGGCCCCAGCCACCTGAGCTCCGGGATCACTGAGAACCCCTGGCCTGGTGGACACAGGGCTGGACTCCCACCCGGCCCCTTCTTCCTCTCTGCTTTTTGCTGCCCAGCTTCTGTCTCAGATTTTTGGCGAGGTCCTGGGAGAGGGGACGCCTCCCACTCTGACCTGTGTGTTCAGCCTCTTCACAGACTCCTGTGCTTCGATCACTTGCTGCCCTCTGACCTCATGACCTTTGATTGTCCCAGTTGAGACAAGGGTTCAAGTTCCGGGGAGGACCAGAGCTACCTTTGAGCTTTGCCCCTTCCCGCTCACCTACTCTGTCAGCTTGCAGTTTTTCTTCTCGTGTGGGCCAGTGGGCAGCTGCGTCTGGTCACAGCTCCCTCACCAGAGTCTGGGTCCCGCTGGGGGCCCCCAGCTGTGTTTGCTGGCACTCACTCCTGCATCATGCCCCGTTGTGTTTCCGGAGCATTAAGGAGGGATTGGCTGTGTGGCAACCCCTTACCCCAGTCAAGGTGTGAGCAGAGCTGGTGAGCACTGTGCACCCCCTGTGGTTCCCAGGCTGGTGATGTGAGAGCGAGGCCCTCGGGAGCTGGCCCGGGAGACTGGGGGTGATGGCAGCCTGTCTGCGGCTTACGGTGTGGCCATGCTGAAGGCTTCACACAGGTACCTGCATGTGGAGAGGGCGCTCGGGGCTGAGGAGCCCGTGAGCATGCGCCCAGAGGCTGTCCCGCAGTCTCCCAACAGCTTTTGCAGGGCAGAGCCTGCCACTCACCTCCTCCCATCCTCTCGGGCTGCTGGGGCAAGGGCAGAGGAGGCGTGGAAGTCCAAGCTTAGGGTCCAGCACCCCCGGCCTTGGCCACTGAGGCCTCCCCTGGTATCTCTTTGGGGTTGGAAGGTGCCATGGGAATTGGGTAGGATGAGGGTGGCTGGGCGGGACAGCCACAACCTGGCACGAGCACGCCCTGGCGAGCCCTGACGGGTTGTGGCTTTGGCTGCAAGCCTCTGATACCGGGGCCGGCTCTTGCTAACTCGCCTGTGCTCTGGGGAGGGGCAAGGGGATGCCCCGGGCACTCTGGGGTTCCTGGCCTGTGTGAGTCTGCTCAGCACCATGCTGCTCCCTGTCTCTGTCTTGTCTGTGTTCCCTCTGTGACCCCATTGCTCTGTCCCTTTATGGGGTGACGGAGGCTCAAGGTGTAGCATGGAAGGAATGTTCCTGTACCTCCTGGGTTAGAGGATGACTTGGAGGCCTCCGGCACTGTCCCCCTGCAGTACCTCTCACGAGTTGTCCTTGTGGGCACGGGGGATTCAGGAGGGGCCCGAGTGGTCTCAGGGATCGGGGGGTCTGTTCATGCTGGGCTGTGGATGGTCAGTGAGGATGAGTGGGGGCCCTGCGGTGGCATGTGTGGACCGGAGGAACACTGGCGGGTAGATACCAGCGAACTGACTCCACCCTTCTCTCCGATACAGGTTGACTGTCCTGCGCTGTGGCTGACTGTGGAGCTAGAGCCCTGGATGGCCCCTGAGCCAGCCCCAGGGAGGACGATGGTACCCCTGGTGCCTGCACTTGTGATGCTTGGCTTGGTGGCAGGTGCCCATGGCGACAGTAAGTATGACACCCCAAGGTGTAGCGCTCCCAGGTCAAAAGGTGGCATTCCTCCCAGGAGGCCCCTGGGATGGGGCAGGACCACTCACAGGGGAGAGAGGGGGACTGGATGGCCCTCTAGACTGTTTCCCTCCTTGGAGACAGCCCCCCTCTAGTGAGTAGCCTGGCCCGGCTGTGCCTTAGGAGCGACCTGTGCAGCGCCTGTGCGCACCACTCAGCTCCGCAGGGTGGGGCATGTGTCAGCGTGACCCTGTTTCACGGGGGTGGGGTGAGACATCTTGGCGTCGTGTGGTCATTGTATGACATGCTCAGGCGTGCGGTCTGTCCACCAGGGCAGGTCTGTGCAGAAGGCACAGCATGAACCATGTCCAGTGTTCTGCATGGGAACAGGGGAGGAGGCAGCACACAGGGAAATGAGTGCCCTGGTCCAGGGAGGGCTCTGGGGACCTTCAAGGCAAAAGAACATGCCGTCCCCCCAGCCCCTTAGCCCTGGAAACTAGCCGGGGGTAGGGGTGGGGGGCTGTGCTTGGCCAGCAGGAGCTGAAGCCCAGCACCCCTCTGTGTGTGTGTGTTGACGGTGGGTGGAATGGTCCCCTTCTCAGATCCAACTCCGAACTTTGGTCCCTTTCCCGCTGCCCTTCCCCCTGCCTGGCACTTCTAGACTGGCCGCAGCCCGCCCTGTCTCCATGGTTACCACTGCTTGGTTACTGGTAGGAGGCGGAGCTCAGGGCAGACTGAGCCAATAGGAGGACTGAGGGGGAGGGGCGAGGTCGCAGCCCAGGTCCCTGGGGGAAGGGACTGTTCCCAGCCTGTCCAGAGCCCAGAGTTGGTCTAAGGCCAAGGGGAGGGGGGGTCAGCAAACCATAGGGACACCCCCACTCCCTCCAACCCCCTCCCCCCTGCTTAGTATCTGGACACAGCTCCCTCCCCTTGCCCCACCAGAGCTCTTTCTCCTAATGGCTCATTAATTATTCAGAAACCAGCCTGGAGGAGGGTGGGACTGGAGCACCGCCCTTTGTCCTCCAGAGTGTGGGGGGCAGCCTAGGTGGGGCTGGAAGGGCCAGGGGAAGGGGTAGCAGAGAAGGTAGGGGAGGTGGGGGGAGCCTGAGGTGCCCACCAGGAAAGGGATGGGCGCTATGCAGGAGCAGGGCTGGGGGCCTAGCCAGGGTGGGAGTGGTCTCCAGGCTGATGAGCCTGCACAGGGTGAGGGCACCAGCCTTCCTCTGGTGGGACTCCGGTGTTGGCCAGGATGTGGGGCTTGCCCAGAAGCCCCCCACCCCCATCCTGGCACCCTTAGGGCCTCCCCACAGGAGTGCCAGGGCAGAGGAGGAGGATGGCCTGACTGCCAGCACCCCAAGCCTGCGCCCTTGGGCCCGTCTCCCCAGCCGGTGGTCTCCCTGTTTCACTCTCCTGTGAGTGGCATCCCCACCCACCTGGTCACCCAAGTCAGGAGCCTGGGCCTCCTCTCTCTCTCCGCACCCCATCTGATCCACACCACGTTCTGTCAGCTCTACCTTCTGAATGTCTTTGGAATGCATCCACTTCTCTTTCCACCCTCAGCTCTTGCTGGAGCCTGAGCACGCAACAGCCTCCTGATGGCTTTCTGCCTCCAGTCTCTTCCCTCGTAATCCGTTCTCCATTCCAGAGTAAGAGTCACGTCGCAGAATGAAGACCCCACTGTGCCGCTCCTCACTTCAGACTCTCTCATTCCCCTCCCCTGCTACCCTCAGATCTTCCGGGCTCTGCATCATCAGGTCTCTCGCCCTCCACGGGCCTTTAGCCTTGAAGACACCTGCATCCCACGGTGAGCTGGGTTCAGTCCCCAGCTCTGACTCCAGCTTCCTGCTGATGCACACTCGGGGAGGCAGCAGTGATGGCTCAAGTTGGGGTCCTGCCACCCACATGGGAGACCTGGACTAGGTCCCTGGTCCCTGTCTTCCACCCCCCTGTTGCAGCAGGTGTTTGGGGCATGAACCAGCAGATGGGAGCTCTCTCTCTTTGTTGTCTCTCTCTTTCTGCTTCTCTTTGCCTTGCAGAAAAATAAAACAACCCCCCAGACAAGCAGGAGGCGGCCTCCTCCTGCTCTGTCCCCCTCAGCCGTCCCTGCCACGCTGACCTCCCCAGGCGCTCCCGTGCTGTCCCGAGGCCAGACCTCCTGCTTCCTCTCCCACACCCTTCACCTGGCTGGTCCTGCTGCCTGCAGGACTTCTTCCTCCAGGAGCCTGGGTCACAGGCTCCTCTTCTGTGCCCTCTGTGTGCACAGCTGTGACCCTGTCAGATCTCTGTATCCCAGCTGACTCTGGTGCAGCAGGGGCTCGGGCCATTGTCCGGTTTAGGGCTGGGACTATGGTGGTAGGTAAGAGGGCATGGGGCAGGCCAGGACCCCCAGAAGGAGTGGGCAGGACCAGGTAGAGCAGTTTATATAGCACAGTCCAGGAATCTCAATGCTGGTTCCTTAGGGACCAGAGACCAGGGTCTTTTTTTTTTTTCTGACAAAGGGAAAACAGAGTAGCTGTCTGCTGTTCTCTCCCCAAATGCCTGCAACAAGCCGGGGCTGAACCAGGCCAAAGCTGAGAGCCCGAAACTCAAACCTAGGCTTCCCATGTGGGCAGCAGGGACCCAAGACTAGAAGCAAACCTGCTGCCTCCCAGGGTCTACATCTGCAGGAAGGAGGAGTTGGGAGCCAGAGCTGGGTGTTGAACCCAGGTACTCGAATGGGGTACCTATCCAGCCTCTTAACCGCTTGGCCAAACGCCCACCCCAAAACCAGGGTCACAAAGGTTAGAACCAGCTAAAGAAGCTGAAATCCCACCTCAGCAAGGCCAGGGAGAGGGTGGGGCTCAGATGCCTTGAGCTCTGTCCCAGACAGGGGCCTTGGGGCTGGAGCCTGGGCTGGGGGTCTCAGGAGTCAGGATCTCTCTCCTACAGGCCTGCCTTCAGCTGCACACACTTTTGGATCTGTCCCCCTGTGGAGACCACGCTTGGGCTGAGCCTGGGAGACTTCTCGCCAGAGGCAAGTGGCCAGACTGGCCAGAACTGCTGCAGAAGGTGGGGCGGACGCCCCAGAGAATTGACGACCAGGGCAGTGAAGCGCGGAGCGGACAAATGTGTTTCTATAGGCCTCTTAACGAGACAAATGAATGGGGGCCCTGGCCTCTGAAGGGAGCAGAGGGAAGGGGGTGGAGAAGCAGCTGCCCAGAGTTAGCCCAGGGGCCCGGCGGCAGTGCTAGGTCAGCTCCTGTGGAGACCTGGGCCTGCACTTGGCACCGTTCCCACAGCCCCCGGCCTTGGGGCTCCTCAGGAGGGGATGCTGGGAGGCCAGAGGTGGTCCTGAGCCGAGGCAGGAGTTTTGGACAGAAAGAACCCACGTGGGCCTGCCTTGGGACACACTCGCCCCACCTCGTGGAGCCCCAGGCCTGTGGGCAGTGCGGAAGCAGTGACCCCAGCATCTCAGGAGGGAGGGGAAGTGGGGCACCTGAAGTTCAGTGAGCGGGCATTCACTGACGGGGGTACTGCACGCTGAGGCAAGCTGGGGAGAGGAGGCAGGAACAGCCCCGGGCTTTGCCGCGGAGCTCACGGAGAGCAGGCATCGTGGCACAGGCAGGACCCAGGAGCAGATGCGAGCCGGGCCCTGGTTACGGCCCAGTCGCTCAGAGTCCTGGGAGCCCAGAGCAGGATCTCTGGTGGCTGGAGGGCTGGGGGCTGGGTGGACCAGGCCTGCAGCGCTGAGCTGAGGGTGTGTCTGTTGTGCTGTTCCCCCTCCCCCAGCCTTGACGCTGCTGGCAGGGCGGAGCGCCCTCCCCCTTGCGCCTCTGGGAGGCCGGTCTAGACTCTGCCCTCTGTGGGACTTCCGGCAGGTCGCTTTCTCTCTCTGGGCCTGTTTTCCTATTGTGCAGTTCAGGGAGTCACTCCTACCTGGAGAGGGTAACTGGAGTCACGTGAATGAGGCACCCAGCACCTCACATGTACTTCTCCTCTGGGGCCACAACCTGGAGCTCCCCGTGGGTCCCTGGGAGCCGGGGGGTGGTACCAGGGACAGTCACGGGAGCCATGGCTGTGTCCTCAGCTCATCAGATAGTTCATTCAGGGCTTGGGAAATTCTCCTTTCCGGGAGTTCCTCTCGCCGCCCAGTGTCTGCTCCCTGCTCCTGTGCGTGTGTGTGCTCCACAGGGAAGGCACAACATAGCAATCAGTCTCCCCGGGGAGAAGGCTTGGAAGTGGCCCAGTTTGGCTATCCCTGGCTGGACCCCTGCAACCCTCCCTGGAGGCCTGCTCTGCCCCCACCCTGGGTAGCTTCCTCTTGCCTGACCAGGCAAGACCCAAAGGAGGGAGGTGGCCGTGGGCCCAGCAAGTTCGTGCTGTGCTCTCACCACAGTCCTTGGCCTTGCTCGGAAAACACTGCGAGAGTAGGAAGGTGGTGAGCCTGGAGCGGTCAGGCAGGAGAAGGTCTGGGGGCAGAGTGTGTCAGCTCTGTGCTCCCCAAGATTCTCAGTGAACCGAAGGGGAGAGGAAGAGCTGGGGGTTGGCACAGAAGCTGTGTGGGCTGCCCTGGGGTGGGAAGGGTGGATTCCAGGGGAGCAAGGGCGGGGTGGGGTCTGCCCGTCCAGCCCCCTGGCTGCACTGGCTTGGGCAGCACTGCCGTGCCCGCCTGGGCTGGGAGGTGGGAGGGCAGGGCGCTGGCGCTGGCGCCTCTGCACCTTGCAAGGGAGCAGGGGTTCTGCCCCCACCACCGCCCAGGGCCTCAGGCACCTTGCAGCCTCCCCTGGGCTCTGGGCAGCCAGCAGGACCCACACCTGGCCCTCCTCCGGCTTCTGGGTTCTTTGTTTGGTGTGCAGGCCCCGCCCTGCCCCGCCCCCAGGCTCGCTTGCCCAGCCATTCCAGTTCAACGGGTTCCAGCCTCTGGTTTCAGCAGCGGACACGTTGAGGCAGGAGCCAGCAGGCCCGGGGACTTTCTGCCCAGGGTTTCTCTGCCCGTGATGTGTGAGGGGCTGCAGTCTCTTCCCCCCATTCCTTCCTCAGCACCCCCGGGTGCCTGCGACTGGGTCAGACCCTGAGAACGGACAGGAAATAGGACTGGCGGGGGCTCTGCTCTTCCCAGCGGGTGTTCAAGGCAGAGAAGCGGTTACTAAACCCCAGAGACTACAAAAGCCATAACCTCATACATGCACCTAATAAGCCGTGAGCAAGTTATTACCTCACACACCTCTGTAGCACGCCGTGAGCTGTGCTGTGGTTGGCAGAGGGCTCGGGGCCGGGACTGAGTCAGTGTGGGGTGAGGTGGTGGCGGGAACCCCGGATGATGTTTACCTGGAGATGGGAAAGTGAGTAAGAGTGAGTGGGTGGACAGGCAGCTTAAGAGGCCCTCAGTCAAAGGAGCAACTGTGCAAAGGCCCGGAGGCCACAGGTGACGGTGCTTGTCCAGGGCTCTGGGGAGAGTGGCTGCGGCAGACCTGCCAGGGCTTTGTCTGCCATGATAGGCATTTTATACGTCTGGTTCGGAGGGTGGGAGGCCCTTGGAGAGCTCTGATGAGGAGCGAGGCTCTCAGGGTGTCCTGGCTGCTGAGTGTGGGAGGGGTGAGGCTGGAGGCCGGGACATCAGCTCCTTAGGCCAGGGAAGAGTGCAGCAGCCCGGGAGGAGAGGGGGTGTGGCTCTCTGAGGTCCTCTGGTATGGGGAGGACTGCATAGTTGGGGGGGGGCTGCACAGGGGACAGCCCCAGGGAACCCTGGGTAGGAGGTCCCCGCAGGACAGGCTGTGCAGACAGTTGCATGCTGGTGTCCCGAGCCTCCTTCCTAGGGCAGTTGGGGGAAGGGCGAGGAGACAGGTTCTGAAAACCCTGTGACCTCCTTGCCCTGGGCCCACAGGCTCACGCGTGCTTCCCCACTGAGGCTGCCCTGCACCCACCCTGCTCCGGCTCCCCTGGAACAGCTGCCCTCACCCACCCTAGGTCTTCCAAAGGCAGAGTCAGCTGGGGTCCTAGTTTCCTTTCTGCACGGAGGCAGAAAGCTGGGGATTTTGAATGCTGGATCAAGCCCTGGCTCCATCTCCAGTCCCTCTGTGCCTCCATTTCCCCATCTCTAAAATGGGCATGATACTTCCACCTACCTATGGGGTTGCTTTAAGAGTGGTGAAGCTAATGAGGGGGTGGCTGCACGGACGGAGGACGCAGCACGTGCAGAGCAGCATACACACGTTGTTTGTCGCCTGCACAGACCCCTTGTCCCCAGCAGGTGAGAAAATAGGCTCAGGGAAGGTGAGTGTTGTGTAATCACCACACGGAACCCCAGAACACACAGGCCAGGGGTTTTCCATAAATTCTCCTCCCTGCTCTCTCTGCCTGCAGCTCCCACCCCCTCAGCGCTCTGGTGCCCTGGACCCTTCTCTCCTTGGCGACTGTGCCCCACCTGCTGCCCCTCTGTCTCCTGGATCAGCGCTCTATATCTCTCTGTGCTAAGCCTTTCCTTTATTTATTTGGAAGTCAGAGATAGCGAGAGAGGGGGAGAGACAGAGAGAAAGGTCTTCCATCCGTTGTTTCACTCCCTGCATGCCCACAATAGCCAGGGCTGGGCCAGGCCAAAGCCAGGAGCCTGCAGCTTCATCTGGATCCCCCTACCTGGGTGCAGCGGTCCAAGTGCTTGTGCCCTCTTCCTATACTTTCCCAGGCACTAATATTAGCAGGGAGCTGGATCCAGAGTAGAATATAGAAAGCTGGCATCCCAGGCAGTGGCTTATCCCACTGCACCCCACACTTTTATTTAAATATTATCTCGTGTCTTTTTTTTTAATATTTATTTATTTATTTATTTGAGAGCGTTACAGAGAGAGAGAGAGAAGTCTTCCATCCTCTGGTTCACTCCCCAATTGGCCGCAACGGCTGGAACAGCGCCTATCCAAAGCCAGGAGCTAGAATCTTCTTCAGGTCTCCCATGTGGGTGCAGGGGCCAAAGCACTTGGACCATCTTCTATTGCTTTCCCAGGCCATAGCAAAGCTGGATAAGAAGTGGAGTAGCGAGGACTCAAACAGGTGCTCATATGGGATGCTGGCACTACAGACGGCAGCTTTACCCATTATGCCATAGCACTGGCCCCACTTGTGTTTTAAGAAGAAAAAGATGGCTGGTGCCGCAGCTCACTTGGCTAATCCTCCGCCTGTGGTGCCAGCACCCCAGATTCTAGTCCCAGTTGGGGCGCCGGATTCTGTCCCGGTTGCTCCTCTTCCAGTCCAGCTCTCTGCTGTGGCCCGGGAAGGCAGTGGAGGATGGCCCAAGTGCTTGGGCCCTGCACCCACATGGGAGACCAGGAGGAAGCACCTGGCTCTTGGCTTCGGATTGCGCCGGCCGTGGCGGCCATTTGAGGGGTGAACCAATGGAAGGAAGACCTTTCTCTCTCTGTCTCTCTCTCTCTCTCACTGTCTAACTCTGCCTGTCAAAAAAGTAAAATGAAAAAAAGAAGAAGAAAAAGATAAGCAGGGGCTGTGGTGAAGTGGGTAAACCTGGCTGCTCCACATCCGACCCAGCTCTCTGCTATGGCCTAGGAAAGCAGTAGAGGATGGCCCAAGTGCTTGGTCCCCTGCACCTGCGTGGGAAAGCCAGAAGAAGCTCCTGGCTCCTGGCTTCGGGCTTCGGATCGGCACAGCTCCGGCCGTTGTGGCCAACTGGGGAGTGAACCAGCAGACGGAAGACCTCTCTCTCTCTCTCTCTCTCTCTGCCTCTGCCTCTATAACTCTGCCTTTCAAATAAATAAATGAGTCTTAAAAAAAAAGAAAAAAGTGGAGGGGGCGCTGTTGTAATGTAGCCGATAAAGCTGCCACCTGCAATGCTGGCATTCCATATGGGCACTGGCTCAAATCCCAGCTGCTCCACTTCCAATCCAGCTCCTGCTAATGTCCTGGGAAAAGCAGCAGAGGATGGCCAAAGTGTCTAGGCCCCTGTCACCCACATTGAAGACCCCCATGAAGCTCCTGGTTTGGCCTGGCCCAGCCCTGGCCATTGCAGCCATCTGGGGAGTGAACCAGCAAATGGAAGATCTCTCTCTGTCTCTCTCTCTGTCTCCCTTTCTCTAACTCTGACTTTCAAGTAAATACATTTCTTTTTTTTTTTTTTTTTAATGTACAAGCCTCCCCCTAGCCCTCTTCCCCCCCAAATCCCAGCTCCTCACGCGGCCCTGTGCTGTCCACTTCCTCACCTCCCACTCTCTCCTCAGCCTGGCTTCAGCCCCCAGCACCCCACCACCTTGCTCCTGGCAGGGCCCCCACAATCCCAGGTGAACTTTTGTGTGCCAGCTGATTTGGAGTCCAGCAGCCTGAATTCAGTTCCAGATGTGCCACTCGCTGGCTTTGCAGCTTTGGACGAGTGGGTGACCCCTGGGAGCCCGTCAGCTGGGATGCTGGGGACGAAGGAGTGGGTTGGAGTGGCTGCTTAGCCAAGCACTGCGCTTCCGTGCCAGGGTCCGGCCTGGGCCCGGGCTCGCGGGCACCGAGCGGGTGATCTGAAAGGTCATCTCTCACGGTGTTAGTCCTTCCCAGAGCTGTTCATTGGCCTGATTAATAGGACATGGATCTGCTGTCAGGACTAACGAGGCATTGCTACATCTTCATGAGCCGGGCTTATCTGGCCCTGGGACCCTGGGCAGTGGCATTTGCAGGGATAGGAGCTGTGGGTTGGCCCCGGTGATGTGGGTGTGTGTGGCAGCACAGAGTCTGGGCCCCCACCTCTGCCTCCCCTTGAAGGGGGACCTTGGGGAACCGTCTGCCCATACTGTGGGAAGGCAGTAGCCAAGTCAGTGGGGGTAGAGGTGGGGAGGGGCAGGTTTACAGGAAAGCATTTACCTGGGAAGGCGTCCAGAGATACTTAGAAGCTGGAATGTCTGGGCCTTTGGGGCGGCTGGTATGTGGGGGCCAGGGAGAGGAGGAGTCCTGGGTCCTGGCTGGAGCCTGGAGGTGGCTGGAGGTGCCCTCCCCGAGGGAGGGAGAGCAGTGGGGGAGGGGCGGTCTCCAGGGTCTTCCCAGAAGCTTTCCAGGATGCTCTTTCTAGGGCTGTGGGTTGGTGAGGGGTCAGAGACAGAAGCCTAAACCCTGGGCTCAGATCATGGCTCTGCCTCCTCCCAGCTGCGTCGTGTTGGACAAATCCCTTACTCTCTCTGTGCTTTGGTTTTTCTTCTATGTCAACAGAGGTAATTGCAGCACCCAGCTCATGTGCAAAGAAGTCAGTGAACGTTCAGCTTTCTGGACGGTGCCTGGCACAGGTGGAGCCCTGGGCAAGGGCGAGGGGCCCTGATTAATTTCTCTGACAGTCTTTCTCGCTTGCCCGCCCACTGTCCCCTGGGACTGCCGCCTGTACCGCTGGCCGTGCTGGTAGTGACCATGCCGTAATGAGTTGGTGTCTCCCTCTCTTCCAGGCAAACCTGTCTTTGTTAAGGTCCCTGAGGACCAGACTGGGCTGTCGGGAGGCGTGGCGTCCTTCGTGTGCCAAGCCACAGGGGAACCCAAGCCACGCATCACATGGATGAAGAAGGGGAAGAAAGTCAGCTCCCAGCGCTTTGAGGTATGGTCTCAGTGGGCAGGGGCAGGCAGGACTTGGAGCCTGGTCCCACTCCTCTCTGTGGTCCTGCTGGGAGTGGGAGGGCAGCTGACACCGAGCAGGCCCCCGTGTTCTGAGCAGGCCATGACCAACCGTCTGTCCTCTGGCAGGTCATCGAGTTTGACGATGGGGCAGGGTCAGTGCTGCGGATCCAGCCGCTGCGGGCACAGCGAGACGAAGCCATCTATGAGTGCACAGCCACCAACAGTCTGGGGGAGATCAACACCAGTGCCAAGCTCTCGGTGCTTGAAGGTACGAGCCAGGGAGGGGCACGGTGGCGACACCCAGCTAGCCAGCTGTGGCCCTGCCACGGGCCCATGTGCATTTGGCAGAAAGGTGGGCTGGCCATCTTGGTGTCGGCCGAAGTCAGTGGTGGACCGGGTGGTCACTGTACCTGGCCTTGATGGTGTGGCTTGTGCCAAGACCAGCTGTGTGTATGCCTGGGCTCTGGCTGGAGGTGTGGAGCTGCAGCTGGGTGTCCCTAGGTGGTTGTGCCAGGGGGCCTGATTTTCACGTGGAGTTCTGTGGTAGGTGTCAGACAGGTGTGTTTCTTGTTGCTGCTATGTGCCAGGGCCCAGACTGGTGGCTGAGGCTCTCCCTATGGGTTTTGACGTCTTCTGTCACTTGGTGGCTTCTCCTTTCTTCCGCAAGCACTCCCTGAACTGCCCTGAAGTCCAGCGGATCATCTGCCCTGGGCGCTGAACCTGAGATACGCAGTCTCAGGATGTTCTGTGGGGACAGCCCAAAGGGCTGGGGGTGCACAAGCGAGGAGAGAGCTGTGTGTAAGCCACATCTTGAGAAGTGTGGAGTTGGGGGAGGCAGTTGAGATGTGTGGAGTTGGCTTTTGGACAGGGGTCTGAGAGCTGGAGGGGAGCAGCTGGAGAGGTTGGAAGGCAGACGCACAGGATCAGGCTGCCACTTTTCTCTGGCAGAGGAAGCCACCAGCGGTGGGGAGTGACATGCTCAGACCCCAGCCATCGGGTTCATCCGTCTGAATGTGGTCTGTGGGTGTATTTTCAAAATGGTGTGTTTATGTGAGTTTTATTTAAATTGTTATTAATTATAGGGGCCGGCACTATGGTGCAGCGGGTTAAAGCCCTGGCCTGAAGCGCCCGCATCCCATATGGGTGACGGTTCTAGTCCCGGCTGCTCCACTTTTGATCCAGCTCTCTGCTATGGCCTGGGAAAGCAGAAGAAGATGGCCCAAGTCCTTGGGCCCCTGCACCCACCTGGGAGAGCAGGAAGAAGCTTCTGGCTCCTGGCTCCTAGCTTCGGATTGGTGTAGCTCCAGCTGTTGTAGCCATCTTGGGAGTAAACCAGCGGATGGAAGACCTTTTTCTCTGTCTCTACCTCTCTCTGTAACTGTCTTTGAAGTAAATAAAATAAATCTTTTAAAAAATTGTTATTAATTTTAAAGATTTATTTATTTATCTGAAAGAATTACAGAGAGAGAGAGAGAGAGATCTTCCATCTGCTGGTACACTCCCCAGATGGCCACAATGACTGGTGCTGGACCATGCCAAAGCCAGGAGCTAGAAGCTTCACCTGAGTCTCCCATGTGGGTGGCAGGGGCCCAAGCACTTGGGCCATCTTCTGCTGCTTCCCAGGCCATTAGCAGGGAGCTGGATAGGAAGTGAAGCAGCCAGGACATGAACTAGTGCCCATATGGGATGGCAGCATTGCTCCACCACAACACCGGGCCCTAAATATTTATTTGAGAGGTACAGTGAGACAAACAGACACAGAGAGAACTCCTATCTGCTGGTTCACTCTCCAGATGCCTGCAACAGCCAGGGCTGGGCCAGAACCAAAGCCAGGAGTCAGGAACACAATCCAGGTCTCCCATGTGGGTGGCAGGAACCCACTTACATTTGGCATCACTGATACCTCCCAGGGCCTTCGCTGGAGAGCAGTTGGAGTTAGGAGCTGGAGCTGGGTGTCAAACCCAGGTACTCTGATGTGGGATGTGAGTGTCTTACCTGCCAAACGCCTACCCCTGCTTTCTTTTTAAAATGCAATACCAATATCTGTTTAGTGTTGAAAAATTGAAAAGTATAGAATAACAAGGAAAAATTTAAATCACTCATTATCTTACCTCTATTGTTAATGTCTAGTTATTTTTTTAAAGATTTATTTTATTTATTTGAAAGAGTTACAGAGATAGGTAGAGACAGAGAGAAAGGTCTTCCTTCCGCTGGTTCACTCCAGCCACAACAGCTGGAACTGCACCAATCCGAAGCCAGGAGCCAGGAACCAGGAGCTTCTTCCAGGTTTCCCACGCAGGTGCAGGGGCCCAAGGACTTGGGCCATCTTCTGCTATCCCAGGCCACAGCAGAGAGCTGGATCGGAAGAGGAGCAGCTGGGACTAGAACCAGTGCCCATATGGGATGCCAGTGCTTCGGGCCAGGGCTTTAACCTGCTGCGCCACAGTGCCGGCCCCAGTCTTCTTCTTCTTTTTTTTTTTTTTTAATTTGCTTTTATTTATTTGAAAGAATTACAGAGAGAGATAGAGAGAGGTCTGCCATCCACTGGTTCACTCCCTAAATGGCCACAACAGCAGGAGCTGAGCCAATCCGAAGTCAAGAACCAAGAGCTTCTTCCGGGTCTCCCATGTAGGTGCAGGGACCCAAGTGGTCAGGCCATCTTCTGCTGCTTTTCCAGGCCAGAGCAGAGAGCTGAATTGGAAGAGGAACAGCCATGACTAGAATTGGCACCCATAGGGGATGCCGGCGCTTCAGGTCGGGGCTTTAACCCACTGCGCTACAGCGCTGGCCCCTGGTTATTTCTTTGTGGCCCATTTTCTGTGCATACCCGTTTGTGTGTGTGTGTGTGTGTGTGTGTGTGTGTGTACTATATATCAGAAATTAGATCACTCTCTAGTGATTTGTAGACGGCTCTTTTAAAACAACAAAAGGGGAAGGCATTTGGAGCAGCAGTTAAGTCACTGTGCATCCCATCTTGGAGTCCCTTGGTTCAAGTTTCTACCCTGCTTCCAGTCCAGCTTGTTGCTAACGTGCACCCTCGGAGGCAGCAGGTGATGGTTCAAGTACCTGGAGCCCTGCCACCCACGGAACATATCTGAACTGAGTTCTAAGCTCCTGACTCTGGTCTGGCTGGTCTGGCTGAGCCCCAACTTTAGGGGGCAACTGGGGATCTCCCTTCTCCCTCTCTGTCTCTCTGCCTTTCAGAGCACACACAAAACAAAAATCAGGGGCCAGCATTTGGCCTCGTAGGTAAAACAGCAGCAGTGCACATCAGAGCGCCTGGATTTAATTCCTGGCTCTGGCTCCTGACTCCAGCTTCCTGCTAATTTGGACTCTGGGAGGCAGCAGTGGTAGCTCAAATAATTGAGTTCCTGCCACTCATGAGGGGAGACCTGGGTTGAGTTCCCTGCTCCCAACTTCACCAGGCATATATGGAGTGAACTAGCAGGTGGGGAATCTTTCTCTGTGCTTCTCAAATATAAAAACAAAAGCAACAAACCAAAAAAACCCATATTGTGAACATCTTCCTTGCCATTAGATATTTTTCTGCCTCATTATTTTTAATGGCCATGGGTGAGCTGTCACATGGAAACACCCTAATTTATCTAGCCATTCCCTTATGGTTGGATACATATGTTGTTCAAAGTGTTTTGCTTTTATAAATAAAATGCCATAGGTGTCCTTACACGTAGGTGCGTTCACTTCCCTGATTATTGGCTTGTCCCAGGTCCATGGGAGGAGAACCGCTGGGTCAGAGGGCGCATGCAATGTTAAGCCTGTCAGTATTTCCAGAAGGTTGTATCAGTTTATACTGCTGACAAGCAGGTCGTAAGAGGCCTCTTTCCGGCAGTGGGAATTATCATTTAAAAAAAAAATCTTTGCCAACTTAATCGGCAAAAAAAAATGGCATTTCAATTTAATTTGCATTTCTTTGATTACAAGAGCAGTTGAACATCTTTTCACATTGGCCATTTCTATGCTGTGGCTTTGTGTGTTCACACAGGCATCCACTCCGAAACTCTCTTGCATCTGTGTCCCCGGGTGAGCCGGTGGGTTCCACTGTGCTTCACACGGTCCTTCGGCAGGGCCGTGGAGGACAGTGGCCAAGAGCAGGGACCCTGCACCCTGCAGGCGACCTTGAGCCAGTAACCCTGCCTCTGAGCCTCGTTTGTTCCATCTGTAAACAGGGCTGTAACATGTACCACCCAGGCTGGTTTGGAGAACTGAATGCAGCACAGTTAGCCACCTACCGGGATCCCAGCCTGATTTAGCAGGTGCCACAGGGCTAGGAGGCACCACATCGTGAGGACGAGTGAAGAAGCTGCTCGGCTCCCATAGTCGCCTGCCATCTTCTGTCCCCTTGGGGAGGACGTTGTGGAGCTGCGGCCCAGAGGCCAAGCCCTGGGCCAGGATCACTGACTGCCATGTTCCTGGGTTCCTCCCTGCTAATCCTGACCTCACTGTCCCGACATGTGACCCGGGAGCATGTATTTCAACTCTGCCCTGTTGGCATCTGCCCACAGGGTGCCATCTGCCCTGCCCTGGCACTTGGGAAGTGGCCAGAGGGCCAGGACCAGGGCTCCTCCTCCTGAGGGCATCTGCCAGGGCTCTTGGGCCGGGTAGCAAGGTGTCCTCAAGGCCCCTAGGCCCTGTGTCCTCTGCCACTGCCCTGGGCGGCTGCTGCTCCTAATGGACATGGACATGGGCACGGGTGGTCTTTCAGAGCTGGGTGAGGAGGCCTCCCTTGCACTGGCAGGGCGTTTGGAGGCATCTTCACGCATAGGGATAGGGTCCAGGGTGCGTGTGTGTGTGTGTGGGCTCTGAGATGTTGGCAGTGTCTGAGGAGGTATCTGGAGCAGGTGTGGGGCAGGTCCCCGCCCTTGCCCTGTTCCCTTGGAGGGGCTGAGGGCCTGTGGGCCTGGGGGAGTCCCTCCTGCTCCTGAAACAGCACCCGGAAGACAAAGTGCTGACTTTCCTGGTCTGTGTAACCTTGACCAGCTCTGGACTTGGCAGAAAGGCGCGCCGGGGGCGGGGCCACGGGGAGGTGGCCCAGACTGTGACTGTCCCGCCTCCCCACCCAAAGCTGGGGTGCCCGCAGGAACTGAGTGAAAGGCTGGCTTCCTGGAGCTCTGCGGTGGAGCTGGGGGGAGCCAGGGCTGTTCCTGGGAGGACACACAGGGTGCGGGGGTTGGGGAGAGGGTGAGACTGGCACGGACCCCTCCAAACACATGAGACAGGGGCTGAGGGCTGCCTGGGGAGCCCGGCTCA